CCGCCGCCGCCACCGGCTGGGCGAAAGGCGAGGCAGGCACAGATGGAGCCGTGAGCGGCGTCCAGCTCCGGCGGCTGGCTATCGCCATCGAGGTTGACGACGCGCACCTCGCCCGAGTCGTCGCCGATCGCGACATGCTCGCCAGCCGCGTCGATTGCCAGCGCTCCCACCTCGTCGCTGCTCCCGCCGAGCGACGGCACGGCAGGCTCGCGCATCAGCACGCCCGGAGCGCGCAGGTCGTAAGCAAAGACGTCACGTCCAGCGGCGCCAAAGACAAAGTGCTCGCACCCTCCACGGCCCACGGCGAGAGCGTTCACGGCCTGAGCGCCGGGAGCAACCATCGCCCGCGCCGTCCTCTGCGCGCCGAGGTCCCAGAGACGGACGGTCCCGTCCTCGCCGCCCGAGACCAGCATGTCACCCTCGCCCGCGAGGCAGTTCACACCGCCACGGTGGCCGCGGAGCGACGCCGCCTGAGACAGCTCTCCCATGGGATCGATGGAAACGGGTGCTGGCACGGCGGGGCGTTGGAGGAGGAGGTCTCGCGGCAGGCACACGGGTTCGGGGCTCCAACCACGTATGGAAGCCCAATTCACACAGGACCCACTGGCCCTCGTCCACACTCTACACCCTCGCCGCGCCTCACTCATCGCACGGCCCGTGCTTTTGGCACCATCGCTCCCGCCACGCGTCGTCGGGCCGCCCCCAGCCGATGGTCGCGCCCGCCGGCGCGAGCACGCCCGACACCCACGGCACCTCCCGCGGCATCGCGTCTGGCCACACGTCCATGCTCACCGCCCACGGCCAGTCCCGGCGCGGCGCTTGTCGCATCCGCTCGGGGTAGGTGCTGTGGCCAAAGTGCGGGTCCTTGGGCGCCTCGGGCAGGCGCTCCGCCTGGAACTTGAGCCAGCACTCGCCAAACTCGTGCACGTGGATGTCAAAGGCGAAGCAGCGCGGCGAGGGGCAAAAGGTCCAGATCTGGCACGCACGCCTCTGCCCGCCTCCGCAGAGCATCGCCGGCCGGCGGCCGTGCTTGCGCGCGCTCGCGGTGCCGTTGGCTTCGGCGGGCCACCACTCCTTCCCCTCGGAGCCGGCGCCGCCGCAGATGCGCGCGTGCGCCTGGCAGGCGGTGCAGCACTCGGACGCGCCAGCCAGGTGGAAGCCTGGCTTGCCGAGACCCCAGACGAGCGCTCCGTCGCCCGCGTAGCCGGTGTTGGCGCGGGCGTGGCAGGTTGCGTCCGCCACATCACCCTCGCCGCCGGCCACCGAGTCGATGTGCAGCACTCGTTCCAGCGCCTGCAGCCGCTGGTCAAAATCGTCGTCGGCAGCGGCGGCCGCGGCGGTTGATGGAAACGCCGCACTGTTGAGGAGCAGGAGCAGGCCGGCGGCGATCAGCAGGCCCGCGATCGACGATGGGACGGATGCCGACGAGCGCGATCCGCGCTCGCGGCCGAGCGGGGCATAGGCCGTCGGCATTGGAGCCTCTTCGTGCCGGAAGTCGGCTGCGACCGTGGACGGGCCGGATGGGGAGAGATCGAACCGAGGGCGAGTAATTCAGCGCGAAGACTCTCTGGTCGTGAAGATGTGGCCCGGGTTCACGCGGCTCGGCGGTGGTCGCAAACCAGCGCGAAGAAGGGTCTTGCGTGCGTCGCGTTTTTTCTTGCCTGCACATTCTTCCCACATTGAGCACTTGAGCACTGGATAGGGCCGATTCCGCGTGGTACGGGACCCCTCGATCGTCTCGCCCTCCCTCACTGGTGTGTTCATCGGGGGGGGTCATAACAAACACGGTACAGGATCGAGGTGCACGCTGCCGAAGCAGTGTCGTCCCCCCTCTCCCCGACGGCGATGGCGGTGTGACCGATCGAGCTACAAGAGGAGCTTGTTCAGCAGGATCCGGGATGGTCTGGCGCACTACCTCACTGGGCCTGAGACCGCCGAGACGCCCCCATCACCGTCTCGGATTCATGTGGGATCGAACCACTCCGGGATGGGCAAGCCCATCAGTTTCCGTTTCGCGTTTCCCTGCACCTGCAGGCGACGTGGCGAGAGAGGGATGAGTGAGGCTGGGACGGAAGGGGAGGGGAGGAAGGGCGGGGGCCAGACGGGGAGGGGGGGGGGGGGGGGGGGCCCTTTAGGCCAAAGAACCCAAGGGGGGGGGGGGGCTCAGATGGTCGAAGACTGCAGTCATAGCCGCTTGTAGACGTATTACACACACAAAGACTCATAGCAACTCGGAGGCGTATTACACACACAAAGACTCATAGCTACCCGGGTCAGCTACCCGGGCTTCCCACATTCAGAGAGAGAGATTTTTAGCAATACCAAACAAATCTAACACTCACGCGTCATTTGGGGCCTGGAGCCCTGTTCACGCGCGCGCGAGACGTGCAGACAGGGTGAGGGCCCAACAGGAGAATCGTGCTTTTTGGGTTGGGTTGGGTTGTTGGGCCTGGGTTGGGTTGTTCCGCGTAAGGTTGGGTCGTCGGCGCGAAGGGTGAGGTCTCGACCGCCGCCGCTCACGCCAGCGGACGGCCACCATCGGTGTTTTTGGCTTCGCCACCGTCCAAAGCGTGCGCAATGCGCTCGCCGGCATCGAGCGAGCACGCCTGTCCGACGAGCGGCTTGCTGTGTGGACGCCTTCTTGTGGCTCTCGCCGAGAGCGTTTTGCGTCCAGGGGTCTCGTCGCAAAACTCGTTGATGCTCTATGGATGATGAGAAGTGCGCGAGGTCCAGGGGTCTCGCGCACCCTCCCGGCTAGGCCGGTAGGGGACGGGGCGGCACTCGAGACTCGTATAGCAAGGCCCGTGGGGCACTCGCCACGGGCCGCTCCCACATGTCCCGGGCACAACTCCTCCGGAGAGTTCGCCCACCACAGGACCGATGTCCATGTCGCATGTGGGTCAGTCAGTGTTCGTTGTGGCGACCGAGTGCTCGCTGAGCGGCACCGAAGTGTGTCGCTACGGGCGGGATATGCTAGCTATTCTCGATTGCTCACCTTGACACGATTGCTTGCGCGAAGGCAGCGGAGGCGCGCAGCGAGAGACAAGCGATCCTGCTGCTGCAAGAGAGCAAAGCAGGTTAGGCCGAGCGACTGTCGACTCGAGCGTTGGTCGATCTGCGCGTGTAGGCGGAGTAGATAACCACCACGGCCGCGGCGCACCTCGCAAAGGTGGCCCGTGTGTAAAGCGCGCCGAGAGGTCTCGCGACGGGGCCGAGTCGAGCGTCGCGCTGCCTCTGGTCTGCATCGCGCGCCACACGGCGGCACGTCGATAGCGATGCAGCACCCCAGGGGCACCCGAGAGGGCGCCTGCGCGGCTGAGGGGCGCGCTAGAGCAGCCCGGTGAGCCCTAGCGAGGCGCGGGGCGCGCTCGAGCGGGCGGCCGCTATGAACGTCTGAGTATGCCGAGATGAGGCATGCTCGTGTAAGAGGCGGCGAGGCGGCTGCGGCTGCAGGCGGCCTTCCCGCCAAAGGCACGCGACGCGGAGGCGTGCGGTGCGTGTAGAGGAGGCGCAGGGCGCCTCGCGAAGGCGGCCAGCGCATGTGTGGCGCGCCGAGAGGTCGCTCGATACAGCGAAGTAGGGCGTCGCGCTCGATCGACTCGAGCAGGCCAGCTGTCTGCTGTCTCTGGTTTGCATCGCGCGCCACGAGGAGGCATGTCGCGGGCGATGCAGCGCCCCGAGGGCACTCGAGAAGGTGCCTGTCTGGCTGAGGGGCGCGCTACAGCGGCACGGTGAGCCCTAGCGAGGCGCGGGGCGCGCTCGAGCGACCGGCCGCTATGAATATCTGAGTATGCCGAGATGAGGCATTCTGGTGTAAGAGGCGGCGAGGCGGCTGCGGCTGCAGGCGGCCTTCCCGCCAAAGGCACGCGACGCGGAGGCGTGCGGAACATGGTCGAGGGGCATGGGCCCTACCGCGCTAAGGGAGAGGGAGGCGAGGGGGAGGGGGAGGGGGATGGAGGGGAGTGTGAGGGGTATGGGGGCGAGGGAATGGAGGGAGAGAGGAAGAGCAAGGGCGAGAGGGGGCAGGGGACTGGTCGATGGCATACTAGGGGGGGCAGGGTAGTGGGCGGCGATCGCCGCATACCGTCCTATGGCGGCGAGTATCGCTACGCCAGGGAGGACAAGGACGTCGACGTGCGGCTGCTGCTGTTCGAGTCGTTCGGTGGGTTTGGGAAGGGGGTCGGCGAGATCCTCTGCGGGGCGGCGAACGTGCTGCAGAACAAGCTGACGCGGGCCCAGTACCTCGATGAGGTGACTTGGACCACCAAGAGCTGGCTGGGGCTGCAGAAGCAGCGCATCTCAGTCGTTCTTCACACGGCCATCGCAGAGCAGATTGTGAATGAGCTTGCCAGCGGCGAGGGCGGTCGAGTGCACGGAGCTAAGTGCCTCGCCGTCCTCGCGGGAGTCGCTTAGGCGGCTCCAGTGGTGTACCTGTGCTAGTGCCAGTGCGCGCCAGTCCCGTGCCCAGTGTTCCAAGGTAAAATTCTTTTTCGGGGCACCTGTGACGGCCCCCTACAAGAAGGGCGACTACCGGTTTGCGCGGGAGAAGAATTGCGACCTGCGTTTGCTCGACTTCGAGACGTTCGGCGGCTTCGGGGACGGCGTCCGCAGAATTCTTCGGCAGGCGGCGGACCAGCTGAGTAACAAACTTTCGCACGCTCAGCACCTCGATGAGGTCACATGGACCACCAAGAACTGGCACGGGCTGCAGATGCAGCGCTTGTCTGTCGTTCTCCACACCGCCGTGGCGTGGCAGACGGTGAACGAGCTAGCGTGCGGGGACAGCGGCATTGTGCACGGAGCTAAGTGCATTGCCGTTCTTAACGGAGTCGCTTAGGCGGCTCCGGTGGTGTGCCGGTGATAGTACTAGCACGCGCCAGTTCGCACCTGTGTCGAGCCTGTCTGCTGTGAGAGAGAGTTGTTTTGTTTAAATTCTTTTTCGGGCGACCGCAGACTGGCGCGACACCGTTCCGTTCCACAAGCATGTCACCACTGCGCCAATGTCACTCGCCGCGATGTCTGCGGCGGTCGAGGGACTGGAGGTGGACGCGGCAGCGACTCGGCAGACGCTGATTCGCGTTCGTGGCGGCACGTCGGCTAGCTTCGCCGACGTGCTAACCCCTAACCCTAACCCTAACCACTCCTGCTCGTCGCCTGCGTGCGTCGCGGCTCGCCTCGTCGACGCCGCCTCCACGGGCGATGTCGAAGCGCTAAGCCGCGCCATCGCGGCTCAGCCCAGCATCAGCAGGGAGAGGGCCCTCACAGCCGCAGCGCTCGGCGGCCACCGGAGAGCAGTGCTCTTGCTGCTCGCGTCGACCGTGCTCGCGCGGCACGGCAAGCTGAGCTGCCTCCAGGTAGCCCTCCACCACCCGCGTCTCTCCTGCCGCGTGCGCGTGGCGATGGTCCGGCTGCTGCTGCAGCGGCGGCGGCCGCGAGGCGAGGCGCCGCCGCTGAGCGGGGCCGCCGCCGCGGCGGAGGCGCGCCGACAGGAGAGGGTGCGCCAGGTGATGCTCGCCTCGGCCTGCACGCCAGCTGGCCCATCGCTGCTCGCCACGCTCGCCTCGGAAGGCCACCTGCCCCGAGGCGCCGGCGGAGGCAGCCTTGCCGACGCGCTGGCCCTGAGCCGGAGAGCGCTCTTCGCGCTCCGCGGCGGCGGAGGCAAGGACGTGCGCGGCTGCTACGACGAGTACGCCAGCCATCGCGACGCAAACTACGTGCTGTGCGGCGAGGCGGACCCAACCCCGACCCGTCAACACCCCGGCCCACCACCCCGTCACCACCACCACCGCCCCGCCCTTACCACGGAGATGACCCGAGATGACCCGAGATCACCCCAGGCCCCCTCCAGGTTCGCGTCGGGATCCGGCTGGCCAGCCTGCGCGCCTTTGAGCAGGCGGCTCAGCAGCTCGCTCTCTGCGCGTCTGGGCGTCGCAGCAGCCCCCGTCCGTCCGCCCGGACGGGGAGAGAAGCTCGAGCCGCTCTGCTGCTGGCTCTCTAGGCTCGCCGCAGCGCCGTGGACGCCATCCTCACACGCCGCCTACCCTCCTCGCTTCCGCGCGGCCGTGCGCACGCTGCTGCTCTGTGCTGCGCGCGAAGGGGCGTCGCCGGCGGTGCTGCCGACCGAGGTGCGCACCCAACCCCACGCCCGTTCGCACCGCGGAGCAGCGCGCCTCGCCACAGCGGCCCTCTCCGCACCCATCTGCTCCACTCTGGCTCTTCGGCTCAGGCGCTGCTCCTTGTCGTCGAGCAGCTGGCCTGGCGATGGTTCTGGGACGTCGATTTGCTGCTCGAACGTGCCGACTCACACGAGCTTGGCGTCGACGTAGCGGCGGCCAGCGCGACCTCCTCCGCGCTGACGCCGTCACGGTGACGCCGCTGTCGCGTGCGCCGTTTCGCCCGTCTCACGTCTCAGACTCTTGTGCTCAGACTGGTCTCATCAATGCACGGAGACTCGAACGCGCCGCCCGAGTCGCTCCTGTTGTAGTATATCGAGAAATAACACAACTTTATGACGTGGGTGGGTGTCTCTCTATGAGTCTCTAACTCTCTATCGCCCGTCTCGTCTCCTCCATTCCCGATGCGCCCCGCTTCCCCACCCAGATGATGTCCCACTGGCGCCCCTCTGTGCGCCCATCGTCGCAGAGCCGCCCGAGTGAGGAGCTGACCCCGGCGGCGCTCCGCTCCTCCCCTTTCTCCGGCCCGCCCTCGAGACGACCTCCCACTCGTCCTCGCCGCCGTTCTCGCCGCCGCCCCCCTCGCCGCCACCTCCTCGCCCGCGGGCCAATAGTCCCCTCGCCCGCGCCTCGCCCTCGCCGCCACCCTCATCGCTACCACCACCAGCCTTGCCACCGCTCTCCTTGCTACCGCCCTCCTTGCCGGCGGCGGCGCCGCTGCCCTCGCCGCCGCCGCTGCCCTCGCCGCCGCCGCTGCCCTCGCCGCCGCCGCTGCCCTCGCCGCCACCGCTGCCCTCGCCGCCGCCGCCGCTGCCCTCGCCGGACCCGCCGCCGCCTCCTCCCTCGCTCTCGTGGACTCTGGTGATCGCGATGCCCTTGGCCGCCATCTCGAGCTCCTTGTCCCTCAGATACCGGCTCAGGCTCCGCCTCATCCGGCTCTCGAAGCGCGAGTCGGTCCTCTCGCGCAGCCACGGCAGCCTACAGGAAGGGCCCGCGCCAAGGCTCCGACAAGGCTCCGAGGCGAGGGCGGTCCTCTCGCGCGCTCGGCGCCGCTGCAGCCAGAGCAGAATGGTCGTCTCCCAGACGACGTGGATGTTGCAAGTCGAGATGTCGAGGTAGGCCGGCCGCAGCTGCAGCGTCGCCGGGTCGAGCAGCTCGTCGCAAATGTCGACAAAGTCGACCGCAGCGTGCTCCGCGCAGGCGGCGCGCAGGGCTGCGTTGAAGGCGCGCGTGCGGCCCTGCCGCGCCGCGAGCGAGCAGTCGGCGAGGTCCACCCTCGCCGCCTGCGCCTCGCTCAGCACGCCGTACGCGGCCACGCTCTTCGGCACGCTCTCCGCCTCGATCAGGCTGGACGGGTATGCGCCGACGACGAGCCTCTGTGCCGGCCCGGGCAGACCGGCGACAAAGGCGACGTAGGCGCGTGCGATTGCCTCGAGGTCAATCTCCTCGGGCGGCTCGCGGCCGTACTTGCAATAGTAGTACGACATGTGCACATCGACGCTCCCAAAGACGAAGACGGCCGTGTGAGTGCCCGGCCGCTGCGCAAGCGTCTTGGCGATGTCCGCGCGGTTTGTGTTGCCGGGCTTGGTGAGCCCCTTGGCACTGCCGCCCTTGTACGGCTTGATGCCAATCTCGACGTGGCGGACGAGGCTAAAGATGCGGCTGAACGAGTCGCCAAAGATGAGATAGCCAGCCTCCGGCAGCCGCTCGCGGCCGCGCGAGGGACCGGGCTCAGCACGGTCGGCAGCAGCGCCGCCGTCAGCGGGCGCTGCAGGCCCCATCGTCGGAGAGGACTCCTTCGAGCTGCAGGTATGAGCCCTCTCCGACGGGCGTGACGACGCGGCGCGCGCACTGGCCCTGCGCTCTGGCGAGGCACACGCACGCTCTGCGAGGCACACCACGCTCTCTTGGAGCAGAGCCCCAACGGGTCCTCGGAGAGGGTACCTAGGTACCCTGGGTGGGCGGGGCCTCAACTCGCCAGCCCTGCGCTGCACCGCGCTCCTGAGAAGAAGAATTTTACCCTGTGCTGGGCACGGGACTGGCGCGCACTGGCACTAACTTAGGAGAAAAGAATTCGCGGCGTGACTCACGCCTCGAGCCTGCACGCGGCCAGCTGCGCGCCGATCCTCGGGTTGACGTGCGGGTTGGCATTTGCGCGGCCCGCCGAGCACCGCGGTGAGCGCACCGCGCCGCGGGCGGCCGCCGCCCTCCGGCACGGCGGGTGGGCGTGGCACTCGCGCCGCTCGAGCGCCGCGGCGTTGTCGCGTTGCGCGGCCACCTCGCGCCGAAAGTCACCCCCCTCGTGCGCGGCCAGCGTCGCCTCGAAGCGGGCGACGGCGGCGTCGTGCAACCAGTGATCGTCGGCAGCGATTCGGCGGACCATGGCGCGGCACGCGGGCAGCGCCGGGTCGTCCTCGCCGCAGAGCTGAGGGGCGGGGGTGGGGTTTGGGAGGAGGGGCGGGTCACCCGGTCCACGCCCTCGTCATCCCTCGCCGGCATCTCGGCAGCCTCTCCCCCGGACCGCGCCTGGCTCGCCGTCGGGGTGCGGCAGTACTCGACGCCCACCCACTCGCCCTTCACCTTGCGCCCGCGGCAGCGATAGCGGCCCTCGCCCTCGCCCTCGCCCGGCTCGCTGAGCTCCGCGAGTCGTGCAAATGTGTTTTGCGTCGCGAAGGTGGAGCTGAGCCACCTGTTTGTGTCACGCGAGGATGTGTGGACGGCGCCTCACCACCGGCATGCCTCTGGTGATGCGTGGCCCACACCCGCCGGCCAGCCGCGCCGCGAGAACCGCAAATTCGGCCATCCGCTCGGTGGGGCCGACGAGATCCGCCTGCCGCCAAAGGCGCATGCGGCTCGGGGGCTTCGTGGCGCGGGAGAGCCCCGGCGGGCGAGCGTCTGCCGAGGCCAGGGCGAGCTCGAGGCGCCGCCTCTCCTCGGCAGAGAGCGCACCAGAGGGCGGCTCCGCGAGGTAGCGCTTGGGCCCGACGATGAGCTGCATCCGGGGCAGCCCCGCCAGCCCGCGGGGCCAGGTGACGGCGAGCGCGCCAATGAGCAGCTTCCGCGCCTGAATTGGGAGGAGAGTCTCAGCAGGGTGCTCCATCGCGCCCGCCTGTCGGACGCCCCCAGCGCGATTCAAAGGCCAGCGCTGCTTCCACACGGTTCCAGAGTACGAGTGCGGCTGGCTAGCCACGCGCGCGCCTGCAGGTTGGCGGGCACCGTGCTCTCGTTGAGCCGCACGAGGCCGCGGTAGCCCGCCTCCCAACGGAACCAAGAGACGTACCACGCAAAGGGCTCACGCACGCGCAGGAACACCTTGACGCCAGAGCAGCCACCTGCACTGACGCCGAGTGCGCGCAGGCGAGGCACGTCGCGCGACCAAAAGAGGTAGCCGACCTCCCCGTGTGCCTGAGGCGACGAGAGAGACGGGCGTCACTCCCCTCCTCCTCTCTTCTGCCCCCAACCCTCTGCCCTCGCCACCTCGGCACAGACCCGCTGCCCGCGCCGCAGAGCGTCGCTGACCTCCGCTACATCCCACGGCCTGGGGTTGCCGCCGCGGACGCAGCGGCCGTGCCGCGAATTCTGCTCGAGCAACGAGCGGAACGTGGAGCCGCCGTTCTTCTCGACGTGCCTGAGGGAGGGTGGCGTTTGAGCGGTGCCCGCCTGCCCACGGGGCTCCAACAGGGATCTCGGGCCCGAACATGGCTGGCGGCGATCAGCCCAACTTGCTCGGGGGTCACCAGCTCTGAGAGCATCTCAGCTGCTCACACAAGCCACTGCTATTGTTGCTCACCTGTCGATGACGACCGCGGCGCAGCCCGGCGACGTGCGTGGGCAGGCCTCGCAGGCCGGCCAGCCACCGTACTCGACGCGGAGCCGGCCCAGGCCGCAGTCGAGATCACAGGAGGGGGTGGCGTTGCTGGGCGGTGGCGGCGCCGCCAGCGCTCGGCGTCGACGCATATTACATGCATACACACATCGTTGTTCCACGCCGACTATTGCAATAGTTGGAAGGACGCGCGTTTTACTTGGAGGTGCTTTTCTTTTGTTCCGAAACGATGCCTGGGGAGGCGAGCACTCTCGCTGTGCCCCCCTAGCACAACAGCAGTGTCAGAGGCGACGTTCCTGTGTGGCGTGGCGTGGGGCTGCATAGCCGTCGACCCCTCCATCAAGGCGACGACGCACCTGCGCAAGCGCGGCAAGGCGGAGAACTCCGGCGACATGGACGGGCTGGTGGGCAAGCTGATGAAGGACCAGGAGGCCACAACCGCCGAGGGCGGCGAGTAGGGGTGGGGCAGCGAGCTCGCTGCCGAGCGGCGCGAGACGCGAGACTTTAGAAGAACGTGCGGTTTCCGTGTGCAGGCAGCGCGATCTCGGCCCGATCTCGGCCCGATCTCGCTTCTCGGCATCAGCAGGCATCGAGATCAGTGAGGAGGACCGTGCGCGTGCCCCATCGCTGGGGGCGTGGTGGTGGGTGGGTGGGTGGGTGGGTGGGGCGTGGGCGCCGTGGCCGTGGGTGGGTGGGTGCGGGTGCGGGGCGTGGGCGTGGGTGGGGCCTGGGGCCTGGGGAAGGTCAACACAGTACAGTACAACACATGCACCATAGGTCTACATACCTTAAGGTACGCCGCACAACATTTTTCAGCGTTCTTGCAAAGTTCACAACTGATGGTCATAGACATGAGCGAGATCTCGTACCGACGCGGCGCCGCCCTCGAGTTTGCCGCAACGCCAGCACCGCTGGCGCTGGCCGCTGGCCGCACACCCTCATCAGAAGCCCAGCAGCTGGGACAGCCCGCCAAACGCGCCCTCGCAGTGCGCCACGCCTTGCTTGGCGATCATGTCCGGCCGAGCAAAGACCCACGCGCCGATGGCAGCCACCACCGCCCCGCCCAGGGCCAGCATGGCGCCGGCCGAAACGAGGCTGCTGCGGCCGCCGCCCTCGCCCTCGGGCAGCAGCAGCGACGCCACGAGCAGCACGTGCAGCAGCAGCAGCGTCAGGCCGACCGCCTCGCGCCCCTCCTCCTCCTCGAGCGCCGACCACGCGAGCGCACCCAGCGGCAGCCCAAAGTCGAGCCGCGGCCACAGCCGGCCAGAGAATACGGATATCACCACTCCGAGGGCCGCGGCGAGCGCGGCCGCGGCGCCGAGCAGCTGGCGGCGTCGGGCAGGGCGGCTCTCGAGCGCATGCGCAGCGGGCAGCGCCACGCCGCCGCCAACGTAGGCCACCACCCACCACAGCGGGTCGGGGTCGTTGAGGTTGGCAAACGCGGCCGCGGAGAAGAAGAGGGCGGCCAGCACGAGGTACGCTGCCGTGGCGGAGCTGCGAAGCATAGAACCCATGGTCTGTGCCGCTCCCGACAGGCGAGTGTGTGCTGCCCGAGTCGAGGTGCGCACTCAGGGCGCTGGCAGTCCGAAAAATGCCGTGTGTGTGTGTGTCGGTCCGCGTCCCAAAGCAGTCACATTCACGCTTGTTGACCTTCTCTCTTGTTCACAGCCACATTTTTATCAATTGTTCACGACGGCGTTCACATGAAATTGCGGCATAGAACAATGCCTGAAGTCAAAGCAGATCGCATCACTTCACAGCTATCTTCACACCTTCCAGAAGCGCGAGCGCCGCATCCTCCAGCAGCGAGGGCTCACTGGTCAGGGCTGGCGAGTGGGCTTGTGGCTGCCAAGGGGGTCGCGGTGGTCAGCGGGGAGATCGGCGAGTTGTACGCGTTGACTAACGTGTTAGTCAGAGCTCATCGGACATCGCGATGGCGCAGATGTACGGCGTCCCCGAGTTCTTCGTCACCTTCACCGCGAACGAGACATGGGCTCTATGGCTCAGACTGGACTCCTCTTGGTCCCTTCTGATGCCCTAGGCCACACCTGGGCCTTACCTGGGGTCCTTCCTAGGTGCCGGGCAGGGCGGTTTGCCCCCCGAAAGCGAAACTGGCATGGCCGCCATGACATGGGGAACCTTAAGACTTAGAAACGCAAAGGGATCTCTACAACAAATACCGGGACGCCGGAGAGATCGGGAGGTTGGTCTCCCCCGCCTTCAGCCCTGACCCGTGCGACGGGGACGCCACCACCCTCGCCCAGGGATCTACAATGCTGTCTTAAGGTCCGACCTGTGGGCTCTGCCTGCGCTCGGCACCGGGCACCGCCTCGGTATACAAAATGCGCCTGCGGGCGGACCCTCACAGATCACAGATCACAAATACCTAAAGAGGAATCATTTTTGCGGAAATCTTTTTCTTTTTCCCCGGCTCTTTTTCTTTATATTATACTAACCCCGAGAAACCCTTCGGGTCACTCCTCATCGCAAACCCTGTCAGCAGTCCTCCTCCGGGAATGCACGTAAGAGCCACATACAAACAAATGGTCGCGGTTTTCTCCTTTTTCTCAGCATGGGTGTCGTAGATAGTTGAGTTGTCTATGGCCGCCGACGCCAGTGGTGAGCCCTCGACCTCTCTCGTCGTGCTACACGGGCTAGCTAGATAGTTGTCTGTATGGCCGCCGACGCCAGTGGTGAGCCCTCGACCTCTTTCGTCGTGCTACACGTCGCGGAGAAGCCGTCCGTGGCGCTCGCCATCGCAACCGCGCTCTCGGGCGGTCAGCGCTTCCGCTCGGTCGACGGAGCGCTTCCGACGCACGAGTTCACTGCTCGGCTGCCTCTCGGAAACGCTGCTCCTTCGCTCCGCCGCCACCGCGTCACGTCCGTGCGAGGTCACGTCTTCGCGCTCGACTTTGCGCCCGGGCCGCTTGACTCTTGGGACGCTGACCCGGAGGGCTGCTTCGCGGCTCCGACCCTGAAGAGCCCTTGCAGCGCGGGCGTGGTCGGCCACCTCTCTGCGGTGGCGAGAGGCGCGGCCGAGCTCGTGCTGTGGCTGGACGCGGACGCGGAGGGCGAGTCGATTGCGTTCGAGGTTGCGCACGTCTGCGAGCCTCACCTCTTCTCTTCACGCAAGTCCGTCCTCCGCGCCCGCTTCTCCGCGGTCTCGCCTGCAGCGCTGCTGGGCGCGCTGAAGACGCTCGGAGAGCCGGACGTGCGGCTGGCTGCTGCGGTGGACGCGAGGCAGGAGCTCGACTTGCGGCTCGGCGTGGCGTGGACCCGCTACCTCACCCGCCGGCTCGCCGGCCGATTCGGCAGCCACCGCCTCCCCTGCCCTCTCTGGTTGGCGGTCCGGCCCACACCGTCGGGCCTGCAGCTCAGGCGCCCTCCGCGGCTGCCTCGTCTCGTACGGGCCTTGCCAGACGCCCGCGCTTGGCTTCGTGGTGCGGCGCGACCACGAGCGGCGCAGCTTCACGCCGCACCCGCACTGGGCAGTGGAGGTCGAGCTCGCGCCCCTAACCCTAACCCTAACCCTAACCCTAACCCTGGGCGGTCGAGGTCGAGCTCGCGCCCCTAACCCTAACCCTAACCCTAACCCTGGGCGGTCGAGGTCGAGCTCGCGCCCCTAACCCTAACCCTAACCCTAACCCTAACCCTAACCCTAACCCTGGGCGGTCGAGGTCGAGCTCGCGCCCCTAACCCTAACCCTAACCCTAACCCTAACCCTAACCCTGGGCGGTCGAGGTCGAGCTCGCGCCACCAGAGGCGGTGGGCGGCACAGACGACGCGTGCGGGGCGGGCGGCGGAGAGAGCGACGGCGGGGCGGGCGGGGCCTCGCTGCGGCCAGAGTGGTCGCGGGGGCGTCTCTTCGACCGGCGGATCGCTCTGATGCTGCTGCAGCGAGTCCGCGCGGCGGCGGACGACGGCGACGGCGCGAGCGTGCTCGGCGTCGGCGAGGAAAGGGAGGACCGGAGGCCTCCGTCGCCGCTCAACACGGTCGCTCTGATGAGGCTCCTCTCGCCCGCTCTAGAGATTGGTAGAGCCCGAGGTAGAGCCGAGGTGGAGCCGAGGTTGAGCTTGGGCGGTGGGTTGCGGCGCAGGCTCGCCTAATTAACTACTAATTAACTACTAATTAACTTGGGCGGTGGGTTGCGGCGCAGGCTCGCCTAATTAACTACTAATTAACTACTAATTGACTTGGGCGGTGGGTTGCGGCGCAGGCTCGCCTCGTCGCGACTCGGGCTGGGCGCCTACTCGGCGATGCAGCTGGCGGAGGAGCTGTACTTGCGCGGCTTCCTCTCCTACCCCCGCACCGAGTCGTCCGGCTTCCCGCCCGGCTTCGACTTTCTGACGCCGCTCGAGGAGCTGGCGGCGCACCCCGCCTGGAGCGAGACTGCGTCGCGGCTGGTCGAGCTCGGTGCGGGGAGGGGCCCACTCTGCAAAGGCTACCGCGATCACCCGAGATCACCCGAGATTGACTCGAGACTAGGTGCGGGGAGGGGCCCACTCTGCGCAGGCGCGCGGGGCAAGGACGCAGGCGACCACCCGCCCATCACCCCCGCGAGGGCCGCCGGGCCGGACGAGGTTGGCGGCGGCGTGCGGTGGCGGATGTACGAGATGGCGCCGCACCGCACCTCTACCCCGCCGCCGGTGGAGCTGCCGTGGTGGGCGGTCCTGGCGAGGGCAGGCTGGCCGCGAGTAGGTGACGCAGACCTTCCTCGCCGCCCTCGGCTGCGCCGCCCGCGTCCGGCTGACTCGCGCGCGCTTCGGCGTCGCCGGCGAGGAGTTCACGAGCAGCGGCCTGGCGGTGGAGGAGGCGGGGTGGTACGAGGCGATGCCGCACCGCCGGCCGGCAGAGGTGTCGTTGCCGCCGCTGCGGAGCGGGGAGGCGTTGCGGGTGCGGGTGGCGGTTTTGCGAGAGGGTGAGACCGCTCCGCCGCCGCCGCTGAGCGAGGCGGAGCTGATTGGGGCGATGGAGGCGGCGGGCGTGGGGACCGACGCCTCGATCGCCGGCCACATCAAGGCGATCGAGGCGCGGAGGTATGTCCAGCTCGTCGGCAGGGGCGAGCGCGGCGGCGACGGTGGCGGCGGCGACGGCGGCGATGGCGGTTGCGGCGGAGGCGGCGGCAGGGGCCAAGGCAAGGGCGGCGCGGCGCGGCGCGGGGCGGGAGCGGGAGCGGGAGGGGGAGGGCCTCGAGCCTTCGAGCCGACGCCTCTCGGCCGTGCGCTCGTCGAGGGGTGCGCTGCCATCGACCCGGAGCTTGTCGCGCCGCTGGCCGCCTCTCGCTCCGAGGCGCCGCCTTTCCCCACCGGCGAAGAGGGCTGATGGGGCGGGAGGTGGGAGCAGGTGCGGTCGCACGTCGAGGCGCAGCTGCGGCGAGTGGCGAGCGGCGAGGCGCGAGAGAGGAGAGGAGAGACGGAGGCCGTAGCTACTGCCGTCACGGCCCCGCGCCTCGCACCAGGGTCCCGCGGGTAATCTCGGGTTATCTCGGGTAATCTCACCAGGCGTCCCGCGCCGACGTGCTGCGCCACTGCTTGGGCGAGTTCCGCCGCAAGTTTGCATTCTTCACCCAGTCGGCGCGCGCCGCCGCCGCCCCTTTGCGCCGCCCCCTCCTTGCACCACACGCGCACGCGGCACGCCCTCGCCAGGTGAGATTACCCGAGATTACTGGACAAGATCACCCGAGATTGACACGTGGCACGCCCTCGCCAGGTGAGATTACCCGAGATTACTGGAGAAGATCACCCGAGATTGACACGCGGCACGCCCTCGCCAGGTGAGATTACCCGAGATTACTGGAGAAGATCACCCGAGATTGACACGTGGCACGCCCTCGCCAGGTGAGCCATCTCGATGAAGCCTTCGAGGCCGCCTTCGGGCCGCCTCTACCCGGGGGGAAGGGAGGGGGGGGAGGGGGAGGGCGGGGCGAGCGTGGGGACGCCGCCGCCCAACCGCTCCGCCCCTTCACCGCTGACGCGAGCGGCCGCCCTCTCCTCCTGCTCCCGGGCGGCCCCACCCTGCTGACCCTGCCCGCACGTAGCCGCTCGCGCCTCGCCACCGCGTGATAGCTCCGAGAATAGGCGCGACGCCGCAGCTCTTCCACCCGTCGAGCGGCCGCCTCTGGAGCTTGCCAGCGGGAGGCAGCGTCAAGCCCCACTCCGGCCGCATTTGCCCTGCTTGCGGCTTCGAGCTCTGCCTCTTCTCGCCGCGCGCACCGCCCAGCCGCGCCTACCCCCTCTGCCCGTCCTGCTTCGACGACAGCCTCGACGACGGGGCGGCGGGGATTGCATCCACCGGCGCCGACGTCGACGCCTCCGCCGAGACGTTCGCTGCCGTGTACGCGAGCGGCTCTCCTCACGGCGAGTCTCACCCTGCCGTGGCGCCGCTCGTCGCTTGCGCGTGCCCCGTGTCCGGCCGGGAGGGAGGCGCGCTCCTGCTCGACCCGCGAGGAGGGCCCGAGTGGCGGCTCGTCTCGACCCGCGCCTCCTTCGCCTACCGCCTGCCGCCCTTCATCCACTCGCTGCGCGTCGGCGCTCCGTGCGGCTGCGATGCTGCGCGCGGCGGCGACGGCGTGGTCGGCTGCCGCTTTCTGCACGTCGAGTTCCACCGCGACTACTCGCCGATTGAGGGGGGCGGCACGGCGCACACCGGCTGCCTCCGCAGCGACGAGCTGCTGCAGGCGCTGTGCGAGTTTGAGGAGGCGGGCGGCAGGGGGCGGGGGCGGGGCAAGGGCGGCAAGGGTAGCAAGGGTAGCAAGGCCAAGGGCGGCAAGGGCGGCAAGGGCGGCGGTCGAGGCGGCGCCGGTAAGGGCTGAAAGTTGCAAACCAAGCCTACGACACTTTGTGCACACCAAAAGCTCCAGGGACTACGGACACACAAGTCCCCATAGCATCTCTCGCGTGGTACCGAAAGTACGACTACGGCCCTCTAATCGAGTAAGAGAGAGAGATGCGAGACCGGAAAGCGACCGAGAGGCGGTGTCCAGAGTTTTGTGGGTGTACCAAAAGTGCAACTGGAAGCAGGAAGGGTCGTACGGGCGCCGCGTAGTCCGTAGTACGGGGAGGGGTTGGGGGGCTTGCGGCGCGCTCCCTGACCCTGTGCGAGAGTCTCACACCCCAGTGCAGCACGAGCGCGAGGGCGTCAATTCAGCGATCGATGGCGGACAGCAGTGAGGTCGTGCCGCTCACGAACTGGCCGCGCCCCGCGTAGAGACGTTGCACCCGCGCGAGGCGCGGCACGCCGCTGCCGGGAGAGACGCCTCGGTTGACGGCGGCGGCGTCGACGGTCGGGAAGACGCCGCGCGAGACGCCCGGAGTCGAGGCGGGCACCGTGGGCGGCGCGTCCCCGTCGAGCGCCTCCTGCAGCCGGTACGACTCCCAGCCAAAGGACTCGCCCGGCTCGAGCACGAGGGCGAACTCGGTCGCGAAGGGGCGACGGCGGCTGAGCCGGAGAGGCGCGAGGGCGTGCGCGCCGCCCGGCAGCAGCACCATCGCCGGCGCCCCGTCGCCGCCAAAGGCGACGCTGCGCGCGGCGAGCGGCGGAGGCGACGTGGCAGACCCATCCTCCCTGCCTTCCTCCCCCCCGCCCTCCTCCCCCCCGCCCCCCAGCGGCGCGAGCGTGCCCGACGAGGAGAGCGGCTCCATCACCTCGCCCGCGAACGAGGTGCACTGCAGCCTGCGCGACACCGCCGTCCCTCCGTCCCAGAGCGGCCGCGTGCCGTACTTGAGCACGACATTGTACACGTTCGTGGAGCAGTGGCCGAAGAGGCGGAGCGCGCCCTATGGGAGACACGTCCTTCTCCTCCAGGACAGGTCATGGCGCCTCTCTCCCGCACTGCGCCGCGTGCCGGCGCCGCAGCAGACGGGGCCGCGTCCTTGGGCGCTCGCGCGCACGCGTCCCCCGCCCAACTCCCCTCCAGGTCGGGCAGGCTCAGCGAGGACAGCGGCGCGGGCGGCGGCGGCGGCGCAGACGGCTCCACGCGCCGCTCGACCAGCAGAAGCAAGTGCTGCAGCTCGGCCTCGCCGCCCTCGCCCTCGCCCTCGCCCTCGCCTTCGCCCGCGCCTCCGCCCGCGCCTCCGCCCGCGCCTCCGACGTCGTCGCAGCCGTAGACGAGCAGGCAGCGCCACCGCTCGCCGTCAGAGGCGGCGAGGGAGTGCTCGAGCACGAGCCTGCCGTCGTCCGCACCTCCGTCGCCACCCGCCGCGGCGATGAGCGCGTCTGCGTGCAGCAGGCCGTCCGGGTGCTCGTCCGAGAAGCTGCCGTCGAGATCGACGTCGAGGGACGCCGAGGCTTGCACCCCGTGGAGGACGGGCGCGGCGGAGGAGTCAATCTGCGTCGCCGTGGCGAGCTCGAGGGCGCCGCTCTCGCTGACCGTGTGAGTGAAGGAGAGGTCCACCGGCGGCGCGCAGGAGAAGAGGTCGGACCTGCGGCAGGTGCGGCGGAGGCGAGGCCGTCGGTGAGAGGAGGAGGAGGCGAAGGCGGTGGTGGTGGCTCTCTGAAGTGTTGTGGCACCGATCGTAGACGAGTGCTCGTCCGCGCCAGGTGCCTGTGTTGAAGGATGTGAGCGCGTCCCACGGAGAGGCCTCGTTGGGCGAGCTCACGCTGCTGCAGCGTGGCGGCGGGGCGCGCGGAGAGAAGGGAAGGCCGAGCACACGCATAGCCCTCCTCTCTCACCGAAAAAAGAATTTTACGCCGCCCCGCACGAGTAGGCACGGGACTGGCGCGCACTGGCACTAACAGGCGCACGCCGCCAAGGCGAAAAGTCCCTTCTTTAGTCGGCTCCCCTCCATACCAGAGGGCGTCGATCTCGGAGCGGCGGCCGAAAGTCAGGTTGGGGTACCAAGGCCGGCGCGCCGACGGGAAGGAGCCGTGGTTCGGACGGAGCCGGCCCGGCAGGCGTGGCGCAACCTGCCCCAAATTGCGTGGGCGTGAGACCCGGGGGGGCGGCGGCGCCTGGGCGGCGGCGTGGCGCGGGGCTCTTCTGGCTGCTGCTGCGGGGCTCTGGCTGCGATGCGCGAGGCTGCGCCTGGAAGGTTGTGATGCCGCACGTGAGGTTGTTGTGCGCCACCGCGAGCGCGGGCCTGTCGCTGGCGGCGGCGATGTCGGCGCACGGGCGCGCCTCGAGCAAGTCCACCTCCGGCACGCCTATGTGACATGTCTCGGACATGTCGCGGACATGTCCTGCGACATGTCCTCGAGCAGCTCCACCTCCGGCACGCCTCGCCCCTGATACCAATGCTTGTGCTTTGCCATCAGCAACCAGCCCCTCAGCCACTGGCCACCCCCGCGTCACCCCCAAAAGAAACATAGAAGGTCCAATCTCAGAACGGCCGTCAAAAAACTAAAAAGAATTTTACAACAAAGCTCCCTCGCACAACACTGGGCACGGGACTGGCTCGCACTGGCACTAACACAGGTACACCACGGGAGCCGCCTAAGCGACTCCTGCGAGAGTGGCGAGGCACTTAGCTCCGTGCACCCGCCCACCCCCGCCACAGGCAAGCTCATTCACAACCTGCTCTGCGATTGCCGTGTGAAGAACGACTGAGAACTTTCCGAAAAAAATCCAAGAGAGGGGTCAAATCCTGACGGGAAGTTCTCAGCCTATTCGTTCTCATCCACAAGCGTTCGGTTGGTCCTCGCTGACATCCGCGTACTTTTAGCTCTCTCTCTCTCCGCGTAAACTAGTCGCCGAAAATCGGGACGGGCGAAATCGTCGCCCTCAATAGGGTATCGTGCGCCTGCTCTCGCGCGCGCCTGCTGCTCTCACGCGCGCCTGCTTCTACGGGTTCACGCGCGCCCACAGGTAGCCATGATGGATACGAACCAGAGCGGCGCCATGAAGACGCTTCTCGTCGTCACCGCCGCTTTTGGTGCGCAAAACCATTCGGCCCTATTCCCGCCGCTTGCCCCTTGTACACAATTCGTACTAATCCGTTGCAGGCGGAGCGTTTGTGGGCACCCTCGCCACACATGCGCTGGCCCCATCACCAGCGCTCAAGGCGTCGTACGTCGCGGCTGAAAAGATGCAGCCGGCGTTCGAGGTGTGCGCGCCTTCTAGCCTTGCCGCGCAGTCGCCTGCTATCTCCGCCCTCGAGCCCCCCCCCCCCCCCTCCAACGTCTGCACTTGTCTGATCCTAGCTCTGTGGGCTCAGATGACGATCGAGAAGCTGGCCGTCCCGGCCGAGAAGCTGGCCGTCCCGGCCGAGAAGCTGGCCGTCCCGGCCGAGAAGCTGGCCGCCCCGGCCGAGAAGCGGCCGCCCCCGCGAATGAAGGAATGCATGAATGCATGCCAGGGAGGGACGGGAATGAAGGAATGCATGAATGCATGCATGAATGAATGAAATGAATGAGTCGCCCCCAGGACCGGGGATGAGTCGCTCTCTCTCCCGTCAGACATGCTCGACACAGATGCGGACAGGCAACCTGGTTTGTGGAGCTCCCGCAGATGTTCTGACAGAGACCTGGCCGTTCTGACAGCGTTCTGACAGCGTTCTGACAGTGTTCTGACAGTGTTCTGACAACGTTCTGACAGCGCAAAATCCTCCCCTCTCTTCACAGCTCAGGGGCTCTGACATTCCCAGTTGCCCCGCTCCTTCCCTCTTCCTGTCTTGAAGTCTCCCTCCGAGCCACGGACGGACCACGATGTCGTTCTCCTCCTCCTTGCGCGCCCTCGCCTCTTTCTGCAGTATCTCCACACAGGTCCCAGTCCCGTGTCGTGCGAAAAAAGAATTTATTCGCGCGCGAGGGCGCACAGGACGATTCACGGATCACGCTTGGAAAAAGAATTTTACGAACCTACTCTCTCTCACGACACCGGAGACGCCGTTGGACGATCTGCTGAACAATGGTGCGGAGCCGAAAGGGGCGTCCGCCCACCACGCTTTGAGGCCCGTTTAGCTGCCGTCAGAGCAGCCCCCTCTTGACGAGCCGCTTCTCCTCCTTGAGCGACGCGAGCCGCATCGACAGCTGCCGCAGCCGGAGGCTCATCTCCTCGAGCGCCAGCCCGCCGCCGTCGCCTATCGCTCAACGCCCACCGCCCCGCGTCTCTGGGGCTGGCGCGTCCCTCTCGCCTCGGCGCGTCCCTCTCGCCTCGGCGCGCTCGCTCGCGCATCGCGTCCGCCCGCGGCTTGAGCGCCTCCGCCTGCTGGCGGTGGGACCTTCTCGGAAGCTTCTCGGAGCCGTCCTGTGGGGCTGCAGCGCCTCCGCCTCGGCGCGAGTGAAGTCCTCTTGCACCCGCAGCCACTGCAGCCGCACCTGCGCACGCAAACGCGGGAGATGAGGGGGCGGGGAGCGGCGCAGGAGGCGCGCAAGGCCGTCTCACGCCGAGCGCACGGCGGCGGGGTCGGCGTCCGCGGCGCTGCTCGCGAGCTCGTGGAAAGCGGTCGGCGCCTGTCGACTGATGACCACTGATGACCGCTGAATGAACACTCCTGAGCTCGCAAGGAGGCCGGCGCCGTCGCAAACGACTCTGGCAGCTCGATGAGCGCCATCCCTGCGCGCGCACCAACGCCAGGCGGCGGCGCGGCGGCGGGCCCGGGCGCGCTCTCGCCCCGCAGCGCCGCGCACTCGCCCTCGAAGCGAGCCAGCGCCGCCTCGAAGCGCGAAGCGGCGGCGGCGGGCACCGCCAGCCGCGTCGGCTCCGCCGGCGGCGCCGCCGACGCCCAGACGCGCGCCTCGTCGTCGCGCGGCGTATGCCAGGCGAGCGGGTCTGGCAGCGCAGAGGCGGCGTCAGAGGCGGGGTCCGGCTCGTCGTCGTCCTCGGGAAAAGGGCCAAAGGGCAGGCCGGGCGTCGCTGCCGCCGCCGAGGGTGGCGGCGCGGGTGTGGGCGCGTCCGCGGCGGGCGCCGCAGCTGCCGGCGCGGCCGGTGCGGCTGGCGCGGCTGGCGCATCGGCGGCGCCGGGTGCGGCGAGCTTGGAGTAGAGGCGCTGGCCTCCCCCGTCCGGGGCGAGCTGAGGCACCGCGGGCGCGCCGCCGAGCGCAATGGCTTGCTGCGCGCGCGGCCGAGGCGCGGGCGGGCCCGCGGCGCGGACGGCTCCCGCGCCGCCCTCCTCGTCGCTGCTCTCGAGGTCGTCGGCGATGCGAATTGCCTGGGCGCTGCGAGGCAGGTAGTCGGCGATCACCTCCTCAACGTACCGCGACGGCGCGGCCAGGTCACGGCGCATCCACCGGCGAAACTCCTCGTCGTCCGCGTACCGGTAAACCGTGTAGGCCGCGACCGCGCCCCCAGCTGTGCCCGCGCCCGCCACAGCAGCGAGACCAATCTTCCACGCGCTCGTGCCAGAGGAGGCCTCGGCGGCGGGGGCAGCTGTGCAGAGAAGACGGTGCGCTCGGCGCCGCATCGCGGAGTACGCCATCATCCGCCCGGCAACCTAATCTCGGGTCATCTCGGGTCATCTCGGGTCATCTCGCGTCATCTCGCGGCAGCCTGTGTGTGCACAAGGCGAGGCTGTGAATCGTGTACGGTCCCTTTGCACTCTCGCGTCCGCGGGAGCACACGAGCTACGACTGCGATGCGTCGGGTATTGTTCTCCGTCTCCCCGGCGAGCGTCTCTCGCTTGGGTGCAAGCGTGCGCTTGCAGCTGTGCCGTTCCTCGCTTGGCGTCCCTTGTCGAGGGGTGTGCGCGGGCGGCGCGCCAGAGCGAAGAAGCGTGGGCGAGCTTTCAAGTACGCTCGTCTGGCGCGTATAGCACGTGTTCACGTCACAACATCTTCACACGCGTGTGGACGCGTGTATTTATCATGCACATGTCTCTCCGCGCACGCTCGTGCGCGCTCAGACATGTATGTGCGAAGGGATGCGCTAGAGGCTATTGGAGTCCCTTCAGAGAGATGGGATCCTATGCCTTATCCCCTTGGCGTGGCGAGCGGCAGAAGGGGGGCGTCCCCAGTATGGGTCCTCCCTGCCTGCTGCACGCCGACGCCTCAGGGTGGCGGGGCGGCGGGCGAGAGTGCCCGCCCGACGCCGTGACTCTCGGGAGGGGCGCGCGGGCCCTCCACGTGCTCCACGAGGGGCCCGCCCCGCACACAGCGGCCCCTTCAATTCTTTTGCCGAGGGCGCGGGGGTGGGTCGCGCAGTGCCCGCTGGCGGGGCAAGCGGCGAGGGGGTCGCCGGGGGTGTTGGGATTATGGGGATGGTCTTTTCGGCGAGCACTACGGTGCTCGCGGATTCGACTGTCCCCCCGATCGTGCCCACCTCTATGAGGACGACGGCGCCTTCTAAAGGTCCGTCGCAGGCTGTGCCTCTTTTGGTACCTGTGTCGAACCCCGCGCCTTCAAGCTGGATTGTTGAATTCTTTTGCCGGCGGAACTGTAATGCCGACCAGCTCCCGGAAGCAGCGCGAGCAAGAGCTCGCCACCGAGCGCGCCAACGCCGACGCGGAGGCGGCGGCGCGCCGTTTCCCGGTGCGCCTCAACCTCCTCACCTATGCGAAGTTCTGGTCTCTGATGTACATGGGGCAGGTGTCGTGCATCTACGTGCACGCGGTGCGCGAGAGCGGGCCCTCGCAACTCTGGCCAAAAGCGCTCGAGATAATCACCGAGCTCGCCGCCAACCACACGCGCTCTGCTGTCGTGTGGTACTTCTTCACCAACGTGATTGCGCTATACTCATCCGGGCGGTTGGGGGGGGGCGGGAGGCTTTATGGAGGCCAGATCATGGAGCACTTGATGCGTTGCGTCGACGAGGCCTTCGAGGCGCCGGACCCCGCGCCGGCCGGCTTTCTCGGCTGCATTCTACAATGGCTGCCGGGCAACAAGTTGTCGCCATTGGACGTCTTTGTCAGCGCACTCGCCAATAAATCCACGCCGCACGCGACGAACCCAGTCCTCCGGCTGCCTGGCCGCGAGTATGCGGCGGTAGTTTTATACGTCCTCCGGCTTCATACGTTCCTCTCCACCTCGGCCTCAATGCCCCACTTCCGCTCCCAACCGCCCCGTGCCACACTCTCCCATCCCCCCCGCCCTGCTCCTCTTAGGTACAAGGTGGGATCGCTTCAGTCACGGGTGGGCTACGCAAGCTCCGTTGCCAAAACAGCTGTGTACGTAATGGGCTCGTTCTCCTACTTCATCAAGCCTCTCCAAGAGCAGTTTGGGCGTGGACAGTTTGCCTCTATGTCCGCAGCTGTGCGCTGTGCCGCCCGCGTCGCCAAAAGCGGGTCGTCCGCCGCCCGGAGGATGCCATCCGGGCGGCGGTGGAAGACGAGGCGGCGAGGTGCGCGGCGGCCGAGGCGGCGAGACGCGCTCAGCATATCCACCAACCTCGAGTTTGTGAGTTGGCTGCTGCGGCTGTGCTCCTGCTGCTGCTGCTGGATCTTAAGGTTGCTCGCGGCCCAGTGGGGATTTTGGCCTTCGCAGGCACCGTCTACAGTGGGTTGCGGGCATTAAGGTGGCAGTCCGGGTTCTGTGAAGAGGGTCGCTCGTCGAATGCGAGCCAGTTCGCTCGCGACGCCGACGCCGACGCCGCCGCCGGAACGACCGCGGCGGCCGGTCGAGCGGCCGCCCCGGCCAGCGGCCGTATCGAGCCTGCCCGTCGCGAAGGTGCGGACCTCACGCGCCCCACCGGCCGCCCGCGCCGCCGCGCCCACGTCGCTCTCTCGAAGCCGAGCGCCACGCCGCTACGACTCCCATCGCGACGACTCCCGTGCTCGCTCCTGGCGCAGGCGATCGACTCCTGACACCCATCGAGCGGATGGGCGCGTTCCCGCCGCGACCCGGTACTCTCGAACGACTTTTGAGGGCAAAAGGTGCCGCCCGAGCCCATTCCCGCCGCCCGCCGCCCGAGATCAGCTGCCACCGGCCAGCGCGCGCGCGGAGACCTGCCGCGAGCGCCTCCGTGGCCCTAGCTGGGGTGATTAGCAAGCGCCTCGGCACTTTAGATTCGCCCCTCGGGCTTTTCCGCGCGCGTGATCAGTCTCGCGTTCTCTCCTTTTTCAGGCGCCTGTTTTCGGCCTCTGAAGAGCAACCGTCGAGGCGTCGATGCTCGCCTCCACGCCCGCGCCAAACCTCCGCGATTGGGGCGCCTTGTCGACGGGATCAATTGTGATTCCGGGCGCATTTTTCTGGCATTTAACTCGCACGTCGGCGACTCTTAGTCGCTTCTCCGTGCTAGGAGGCCTCTGTTTTGTGTCCGTGAGGACTAGATCGAAACTAACATTTCGGCACATTTCAGTTAAATACCAGAAAAATGCGCGTTCACTCACAATTCATGTGTATATGAACGGTGCCGACGGGTTTGGCGAGCATCGAAGCCGTCCAGGCGCAGCAACGCGACGGTTTCGGAGGCCGACGGCTCCGAAAGAGCCTCCCGAGCGAGGCCGGCGCGGTCACGGTACCATGGAGGCCACAGACGTCGCCGGAGCGGCACTCCCGGGGCGCCACTCCCTCACCCGGTCAGGGGGGGCCAACCACAGCCCGCCTCACCGTCCGTGGAGCTTCCGTGGTCCGCCGCTTCGGCTT